ACCAATTTTTAAAATAAAAATGCTTTTTAAAGTACTTAAATCATTGTAAAAGAATGCATGTTTAATGACATGGAAAATGTTCAAGTTAAAACTGTTGAGGGAAAGTGTTGTAAAACAGAAATTTACATGTAATCGAAATCTAGCAATTACATATGCATAGGCATTTTTAAAAGTCTGGCAAAACATAATCAAAAGCTTTAACAATAATTATCTCAGTCATTTTTATTTTACCTTTCTGTTTTTTCCCTATTTTACTAATTCTCTGCTTTGACAACATATTACTTTTTCAGACAGTAGGAAATGTTTGCTTTAAAAGGACATAATAGATAGTAATTAAAGAACATAAAATAAAAATATAACAACATAAATGTATCTCACATTATTTTTAAATAAAAGAAGCCACACAAAAAAGAATGTTTGATTCCGTTTACTGGCTGTTCAAGAACAGGCCAAATTTATTCTGATAGAGGCCATTTAGGAACTGCAAGTATAGACGGAATGGTTATAATTGAAAAGAAGTATGAAATAGCCTTCTGGAATGTTAGAAATACTCCATGTCTTAATCCGGGAGGTGGCTACATGAATGTGTATATGTGCACAAGTATCTTGAGTAATACACTCAAGATCTGACCACATTATATATGCTATATCTCAAATTAAAATACTAAGCCCAGAAGGATATATTTTCACATATATACACACAAAGAAATTATGAGAGTTCTAAATGCCATATCTCAAAAACAGAATAAATGGGGATGTTACCCATAGGGAACATGCAATGGTAAAGAGGGCAGACTGTGGAGCTGGAAAAGATTTGGTTTGTATTCTAGCTCTGTCACTTAGTAGCTCAGTGAATTCAGAAAGTTACCTAACTTTTCTCTGTCTCATTTCCTTATATGTGAAAATAAGAACAGTAGTCCCTAACTCATAGGATTATTTTAAGAATCAAATGGGACAACAGGGTACAATAAAGAGATCTGGATCACTCCACTAAAATGAAAAAATAAAAAGAAAGTAAAATTAGCTCAAAGGAAGATGCAGAGATTCATTAACAGAATTTTCCTGAAGGTTTTATGCTACAAGATTGGTGGGGGAAGTGAGTGAACAGGCAAGGGCAGTAGAACAGGCTGGGGACTGGGCACTGGTCCCACTGGGCATGCTGAATACTACCAGAGGAACTGTTCAGAAAGAAAGTGGTGCAGACAGTTATGCACACTATTGCCAGGAATGTGCATCACCAGGAGTTCAGCAGTCATGCTGGACCATAGGGTCACTAGTGCCTGGTAGCAGGGATAAGTCAGACAAAAGGGAAAATTGGCAGCAATGCAGTGCAAGCATGCATGTGGATCTGATCTGGACTCAGTCAGAGTAGAACAGGTATAAGAATCTTCTCACCAGAATCACTGCAAAAAGATCCATGTGAGTGATCCACACCACCTAGCAGTTTGGGCAAAACAATACACAAATCCCATGCCCGGTATCCTCTACCAGGCAGTACCGCAGTCTGTGTCTAGTAGCTCCTACTCTGCATATCTCACCTGGCACCCATTACAAAGTGACCCAATCTAGGTAAAACACACCCATACCAAGAGAGGAGCAGTAGAGAGGCAGGGGAGGAATTTAGGATCCCTGAAGCACCAAACCAAGCTGGCTTTGGGAGAGGAAAGAGGAGACAAAAGTGATCTATTAGCCTGGCACTGCCTTCTTCCTCACTAGACTGAAACTAAGTCATTGATCTCCAGCTTCCACTCACTACCCCACCTGCCATTACAGTAAATAAAGAAAGGAAATAAACAAACTAACCTAAACATATAACTGCCCCTACCCTTCAAAAGAAATAAGGCAATACAGGCCTTATTGGTGCTGCAAGACACAGACTGTGGGGCACTGCCTGGTAGGGCACACCTAGCTTAGGGGTTTGTGTGTGCTGTTTAGCCCAGTAGGTCTGGAATATGAAATGCATAATGGGAACTAGAAGAAATAAGGCTGGAAAAACATACCTCAGATATACTTTAAAATATATTTCAGGAAGGAAAAATTTACTATGAACAAATATAAAGTCAATATGCAAAAAAAAGCAAACAACATTAAGGATATATGCAGGAAAATACTTCTAACAGGCCTAAAGCCTGGGCTGGTACACAAGAGAAACTGACTACAGGTCACTCATTGTCTCAGTAAACAATTTTCACAGATAGACTGTATAAATATGTTGTGGTATATGTATACCATGGACTACTATACAGCAATGAAAATGAATAAATAAATCTTAAAACTATGAGAAAGTCACAGAAGAAAATGTGAGGTATGATCCCATTTATATAGAGTTCAAAAATAGGCTAAATTAAATAATCCATGTTTATATATATACACATATGTGGCAAAAAATTTATAAGGAAAAGAGAGTTATTTCCCCAAAGTTTAGAGTACAGCCTGAGGGAAAAGAAAGAAAATGAGGATATGAAGCAAGCTTTGAAAACACTGGAAACAAATTTCTTAGTTGAGAGGTTAGTGGTAGTTATTTATAAATATATATATTTATATGTGTATTTCAGAATCATGCTCAGCGAAATAAGCCAGAAAGAAAAAGAAAAATACCGGATGGTCTACTCATAGAAGGAATCTAGAAAACTTAAATAAGGGACCAGGAAAAAGAATAACTATAAGAAAGAAAATATCAAAATCAACAAACAACTATGAACCAGAGACACTCTATGGGGAGTAGGGGGCGGGGAAAGGAGAGCTTGGGGTCAAAATAAGGGGGTTGTAATTGTATGGGGAATATAAAAATAAAATTTAAATAAAAATAAATAAAAGATAAGACTGAAAATATTGGTTCAGGTGCTATAAAAGAATGCTAAGGTCTAAACTATTTCTAGCAATTGATATGGTGAGAATGAAATTGACCAAATGAGAACAAGGATGTATAAGATTTATAGGACACATGGTATCACATTAAGTTTGGTGGATAAAATGGAGAATCAAAATTGTTCCCCATAAATCTACTTTGTAAAACAAAAGACTAGCAGTTCATGCACAACCTACAAGACTAGGACTAAGAACCCAATTTTGAATTTATGCATATAAGTGCATGCAAAAAAAGACTGCCTTAATAATTTAGGGAAAATACTGAAATTCAGTCATTATAATGTTGTAATATATCCAAAGGTATTATAATAGTAATTAAAAATGCAATGTGTAGTGTATGCATAATTCTTGTGTCACCTACTCCATAAAAGACTCCGATCACTCTAAAAAAAAAAAAAGAAAGAGAACATAAAGTTTAAAAAAATGAGCTTTAAAAAGACCCTATGTAGACTAGATTAATATCTCAAGTTTTCTATTTAATAATTACATGACCTCAGACCAGCTATTCCTTCAGATATCTTGGTTTCCTAACCTGCAAAAATGGAGACACTGAGTCTCACAGAGGTTAATAGTATTTCTAATATATACTTCTTGAAAATATTATGAGAATTGAATGAAATAACATGTGAAAACCCTTAGAACATATCCTAGCACATAGTAAGTAGTCAGTAAACATATGTTTTCCATTATTTTTACTATCACAGCAAATAATTCAATGTATGTTTCAGGGATTCTAAATTCCTGCCCTGCCTCCTTGCTGCTGCTCTCTGTGACATGGGTGTGTTTCACCTAGCTTGAGTTTTTGTAATGGGTTGAGATATGATCCCATTTATATAAAGTTCCCATCTGTGCTTTCTTTCAGAATGGAGAAAGGAACCAGTACAGATCAAGGTCCATTCTGAATTCCAATAGAAGAATCTAGCAGAGCCAACAGTATTTAGAGCTTGCTGCACTACTCCAGTATTCAGTTCTAAGATGCACATTTTGTGGCATTTTAATGTTTCTAAAATTGGGGTTTTATCTCAGAGTCAATTACAACTTAATACAGTAGGTTGTTCCTCCTAAAAACCTCTTATTAAAACAAAGATGCATCTTCAATTGATTGTGTCTCAGAATGGAAGAAATAAAGTAATTATTATGCTGTTGCATAGAAGGCGTGACAATTTTAAGACAAGAATAACTAAGTAACTAAGGAGTAGAGTCCAGGCCTTAGGTGTTTTGTTTTTGTTGTTGTTGTTGTTGCTGTTGCAGAAAATCCACCATAGTGGTCATAACCTTTGAAAGATTCTAAGTTTTCTATTAAACCCTGATTATTCACCAGGCATCTACAGCCTGTGGATACTAGAGTCAAACTATGTTTGCCCCCGTGTTTGCTAGTTCTAAATCTTAGGTGTCAAGCTTCAAGTCTTCAGAACTTTCCCAGCCCCAACCTCCCCAGTTATTTTTAGGAGTCCTCTACCCTCAGGGCCAGCCCCTCCATGTTTTTTCTGCTCTGTCTTCTCTGTAGATGTCCCTCCTGTGCTCTGTCATTTGAAAGGAGGTATGTCTCCTGGTACTCAAAATCTGTACATCCTCCAGACAAATGTTACTGCTTAGTTAGGGTCATGTATAGAGAAACCTAACATCATCTTCAAATAATATGGGTCCCCGGTCAACATTTTAGCAATAGTCTATGTCTTTGTTGGAATTGAATGCAATTCAGGAAATGTGTCGGCTAGGGAAGAGGATGTTTGTGAGATATGTCAATCTTGTCTTTTTACCAACCCCCACTCCCTTTTAAGCCATCCTCTGAATTTCTAGATCCTGATCAGAAAACATATCAAGACCTTAGTTCTTTGCCAGAGTAACTATGACCTAAATCCACCAATCAGTAATTAATCAAGGCTTTTCTAGCTCATGTATCAGCTTTGTCCTCTTCTTTCTCTTAGATAACTAACTCCCTGCTGTTGTCCCTGGGATTTATCTCTCAACATGCTATCTTTCTCTGTAAGAAGAAAACAAAAGTCAAAACCTCTGAGAAAGAAGGATCTGTTCCCTACCACCAACTTCCTCATTCAAATTTAAAAAAAGTGAGTAAGAATTCATTTCATTGTAAATTTCCTTCAAAGTCTACCATATTGCCCTTTATTTACCTTAGTTCATGGATTTTTTTCCTTTCATCTTTAGCATTAAGAAAATAGTTTCTGGTTCTGGTTCAGAGCCTGGGCAAATTCTTGGAATCGCCAGTTTTCTGCAAACATTGGAGAAAAAAACCATTCTTTAGAATAAAATACACTATTTAAGTAGCCATTACTACTCTTTTTAAAAAAAAGATTTATTTATTTATGCATATAACAACTGAGATACAGGCTAGAGGTGTGGGGGGGGGGCGAGGGAGGTGAGAGGATTCACCAGAGACAGAGTGGGAAACGGAACAGACAGATTGACTGAAATACACCGCTGAGGGGAGCAGCGGGTGAAGCAGGAAAGGTCTGCTGTGCCATGTGGGTAGCTCCCTGGCCGGGGATTGAACTCATGCTGCAGTGGCTGAGGCAAGCTTCAAAGGTTGCGTCTTACCCCCTTGCGCCACCAGGGAGGCCCCCACCCGGGAGGCCCCCACCCTTACTACTCTTTATAAGCCTTTGTATATACAGCCTATATGTATCCAAAAAGAAGAACCCTCATATTTTCTAGGGATGCTCCTACATCTTTTGATCATTGTCCTTTCTCTTTTCTCCATCACATCATCTCACTGTCATTCCTCTTCTACCTCTAAGGATCTGTGCACAAAATTCCTCCTAACACATATCCCATACATGTCAACTAATGCAAATGAATACTTGAGAGGGGGGAGGGGACACTGGTTGTTCACAAATAATCAGATTCTAATTAAAATTAAGAATCCCTCTGGCCCCCCCGCCACAATTATACACAGCATCAAAGAGTGAATAACAATTAGTAATAAGGACCAATTTAATATCCTGATAGTATATTTGCACTTCAGAAAAGAAAGTCCTATTCTATAATACACTTAAAAGAAAAATTTTAAGTTAATTTGTCCAAAAAGGAGGGCTGTTGAAAGGTCATCCTAGTCCTAAATAAAGATCAATTCAACTACTAAAATGTGATGATTGCTAGCAATAACCCTTGTACTATAAAACTACAGAAAATGTTCCAGTTCATGCCAGAGAATATCTATGGGAAAGATAACTCATTGCATATATTATTGATGATGGGTCTGGGCTATGATGTAAAGTAAACGAAACTAGCTTACAAATTGAAATAAAATATAATACTGTGGCTTTCCACAAAAAAAAAGCCAACTACCAATTTTCTCCTACTCTTAAAAAATTCTGACTAGATTAGGGCTTCAACTATATGCCTTATTTTTAGGCTCAATTATTAGATATTTAAACATTTTTCCTGGTAAAACGTACAAAATGTTTATAATAGTACCTCTGTATTAATAGAAATAAAGCCTTAGAGAATTTACTATGGTTAAATGTAGCACTGCAAATGATCAGATTATAGCATCAGCTGTCAGTGTTTTAGAAGCAATCTGAACCATCAAAGTGGATTTTTTTCAAGTCAATATATCATATTCATCTTTTTTTTTAAATTTATTTTTGTGTAGAAGAACCAGGTTGTATGCCAGAGATGTTGGGGGGAGGGGGGTTAGCGGATTCACCAGAGATAGAGTAGAGATAGAAATAGAGTAGATAGTCATTCAGAACAGGCAGAATGACTAATACACTGGTAAGGGAAGCAGTGGGCAAGATAGGAGAGTTATGCTGTACCATATGTGGGTTAGCTCCCTAGCTTGGATCAAACTTAGGCCATAGTGGTGGGCTGTCACATCATGGTGGTAGAACTGAGACTGAAGCTCTAGGCTACCAGGGAGGGTCCTGCAAAAGAAGTTGAAAAGTTAAACTTTCTAACATTGGTATAAGTCCCTAATCATTTTCAAACTAACATATCAATTACTGGACTCTCATTTCTTCCATCCCCAAACAACCCAGACCTGGTGAAAGGTATGGCTTTGCTTTTACATTCAAGTTTTAATAACTTTTTCATAAAGCATAATATATACAGGCTTGTAAACATTAAGAGAAAAAAATACTATCATCTTAAATCATTTACCTTTACAATGGACTAGTATAAATCCATCACTTTTACTAGAGAAATAATTTAAAGTTCATTATTTACTAAAAATTGGTAAGTGATATCTCCCTTATAAACAAAAAGCAAACCATCATAGGATTAAAAATAAATCTTAAATTCTTTCTTCATAGGTTATGAATCATATATTTTAACTACTTTTACTGCCTAATGAGCATCAAAAAGCTTTCAGTTTCAGATAGTTTTATGAGTTCTTTATATATTACTTCATTGTCTAATCTAGAGATGAAATTCTAAAACCCTAGGGCAATAATTTAGTATTTTACATCTTAAAATGATAGTTTATTCAGACAATTGATTAAAATCACTACAAATTGAATGAAATCTCATTTGATAGTTCTATGTTTTCAATATATGTCTTGTTTTATGTGTAGTTATGCATAAGCTCAATAAAATGAATAGTTCCTTTGCAGCACTTATTTGTCCAAGTATACTCAGGAGAACAGAACATTGCTAGCTAGGAGGTCCCTTTCTAGAGCTCATGTTTTGATTTCGGATCAAGAAACCATGTTGCTAAGAGAGGTCAGGTCAATTTTACTATGAGAGTAATAATTACCAAAAGCAATCAAGGCAGTGAGGTTGGTGAGGTTGGTGGCTGAACAATTCAGAGAAGATCAATCAAATGCAAGTTCAAATCTAGGGATTTGGCATCTCAGTTTTGAGTAGATGATTATTTAGGGCTTCTTTCATCCTTCATCATCAGTTTTGAAAAAGGAATTCTGGTTCAGTCTGAGAGTATTTTGGACAACTACAGTTTCTGCAGGCAATGTAGGGAAAGTTGACTCTGTTGCACGAAATAGTTTTTAGGCAGTCCTTGCTGCCTTTTTGGGCCTTTATACATAAAGTCAAATCCCTCATCTGCCTTAAAGTTTTCAAAAAGAATAATTCTCATTTTTTAATCTAGGGAGGTACACACTTCAGAACAAGACAATAATATATTGCAAGGTTATTGAATATAAAGTCAAAGGAGGGCTGAATTTGGTTTTGATGCATTAAATTATTCACTATAGCTATGCAAGCAAGAGTATGGCAAATTGCCGAAATTTGCTGGGGATCATATTATATTCCCAAGATCATGTTTACAAAAATTACCAGAATATAAAACAAAATCACTAGAGTCTAATACTTACTCAAGGCTATTCCCTGGAAATGAACAGCTAGACAATGAGCTAAGTGACTCCTGACCAGCTATCCTTATGGGATTGAAATCTTGGTTTTTCCACTATATACAGTATAAGCTCTAAGTAGAAATAGGGCATGTGGTGGGTTGACATACTAACAGGCTCTTTCCGACTACTTCTGCTTTGCTGTACAGACCACCTCCCATAACTGATAACCATGTATGTGGGCAGACATGCTTTCAGAAATGTGAGTGGATTCAAAGAAAGAAAATTCAAAAGAAATATTGAAAACACATGCACTGTCCATGCACGGTATACCTTTTCTCCCAAATTCTCACAATGGTTTTGGCTTCTATTAAGCTTAAATTTGACACAACTTGAACAGCTACATGAAAAATGTTCATCATCACCTATAATTAAGGTAATGCAAATCAAAACCACAATGAGATTACCTCACAACTCTGAAAATGGCCTATGTCAAAAAGAAACAACAAGTGTTGACAAGGGTGTGGAAAAAAGGAACTCTTGTACACTGTTGGTGGGAATATAAATTAGTGCAGCCTTTATGGAAAAGAGTATGGTGGTTCAAAAACTTAAAAACAGAACTACCATATAATTCAGCAATTCTACTTAGGTATTCTATTATAAGAATATGAAAACACTAATTCAAAAAGTTACCCCTATGTTCACTGCAATACTGTTCACAACAGTGAGGACATGGAAACAACCCAAGTGGTCGTCCTGGTATGACTGGATAAAGATGATGTGGTATACATTTAAACACACACACACACACACACACACATACAATGGAATACTATTCAGCTATTAAAAAAGTGAAATTTTACCATTTGTGACATTTATGGAATTTCTGATGACTGTGCTAACCAAAATAAGTTAGAAAGACAAATACCATATGATTTCACACATATGTGGAATATCAAGAAGCAAACCACATGAGTGAATAAAAAACTCAATCCTCTAGTCTGTGACAACATGGTGTTTTCAAGAGAGGAAGGGAGTGGGAGCAAAGTGTAGGAGGGATCAATTGGATAGTGGCAAATGGACTAGAACTTTAGGGTGGCTGTAGTGTGGTACATACATTTATAAAGATATAAAGCTGTACTCCCAAAACTTATATGGTGTTATAAAACCATTAAAAATCTGTGCTTTTAATTTGGCAAAATTATATTCTGCCTCACTGCCTCCCTCCTTTCAAATAACAGATAAATGTGACTGGTCAGATTCTTTCTGAATTCCACAATCCCAAGCATCTGGCACTGTTGGTACTTGATGGGATCAAGTTCTAAGGTGCCTGTAAATCTACTTTAGTGGAAGTTTCAGTTTAGTGGGAGTTTCTCAGCACCCCTTTAGAAACTTGGGATGGAAAAATGAGAAGGGTAGGATTCCAGGAGTTCTAGACTCCCTGTCCCATTCTGGGACAGTTTTTATTTACTGTATTGGGCTTTTTCACCAGTTTTTGCTAGTGCAAAGGATTCAACTGATTTTCAAGGGTTTAAATATGTAGGGAAATGGCCATAAGTGGCATCAGATTTACCTTGAAGCCAAGACCTGTTACCTACAACAGCAGGAGAGAAAAACCCTGTCCTTTTGGATAGTAATCATTGCACCACCTACCTCACAGGGTTATTGTGATGTGGAAATAGCAATACAGTGTGTCATGCGCTGAAGCAGTATCCAGGTAGGGTGGCGTGCGAGTGTGGCACTCACTCACATACTCGGCCCCACCCTCACCCCCACCCATTGCACCTCCACTCGGAAGGTCCATTCAAAGGCATATCAGCCATTATAGGGGCTGAGGCATACACCATGCATGTGCAAACACTCATGTAGCACCCTACTGGCAAAGGTGTCTCTTCCACCAGCCATGACATGGATTCTTTGGAGCTAGTATCTCAGCACACCAGGAGAGACTCTGTTCACATAGGCCTAGATTTGAAATCTGCAGGTCAAGATTATTTCTCCACCAGTCATGACTTAGGGTCTTCCTACCAAGAATTAGACCTGGACTCCCTTAACAAAGATATTTTTTCCCAGTTCATGACAGAGACCTCGGAGGGCACTTATGAATCCCACCCAACTGCTAAACTAGGGGTTCTTACAGAGGCCAACCAAAACGAGCTCAAATCTGAGCTCACTAAATTGAAAGCATAAATTGTTAGCCTGCATCAGGCTCTGGCAGCCAAAGAGAGATGCTGCGTGGAGCTCCACAGGCAGCTGGGTCTCACAGTCTTGGTAGGTCTGAGGGGGAATCTGTCCAAGAGCTGGTAGGATGCTCAGAAGTCCAATGCATTCATGAAACAAAAGATGTCAGCTGTCCACGATGGGCTCTGCCATCTGCAGAAAGCTTGTAGATAAGAAGTCAACCACATTCAGATCCTGTGAAGGTCTAATGGGGACAATCAAGTCCAGAGTGGCAGGTTGCAAAGAACTTGGCAGTGACTGCCTTTCTATATCAGAGAGGAATAGGAATGATTTGCTCCCAGTTTCAGGGACTATGGATCATCCCCTCTCTTGGGATCATTTCTCTTCAGAGAGTGGGAATAATCCGGTTCTATAAGGAGATGATCTGGTTCTCGGGAGTAGTGATGACATATCACCCTTTATGGAGCCAGAATGAGCCCTTGGTAACCATGCCTGGCCTCCTAACTAGCACAAGGATTCATTTTTATTATCAAATTGCAACTCTGCCCATCAAAAAACAAGTAATCAAACCACAATAGCAAATTTAAATTAGGGAATGGACAGATTATGGTTTTGAGAAAAATAATGCTCGTTTGTACACAGACATTTGCTGCTATTGAGATAGAGAAACCAATGTTTTGTGCCCAGTTACTTTACACTAAAATTTGTAAATAAAATGTAGCACTATTCTAGCCTTCATAGGTTTACATTTAAATAGACAGGACAATGGTTCCAGTGATCATAGTCTGAAGCCAAAACATTTTTTTTGGTTAACTAGACTATCAGAAGTTCTAAGTTTTCTGTTTAGAAGTAGCGAAAGGTTTAAAAGGATCTGTAATGTTATCTGCTCCTCATTTCCTTCCCTAATCTTAGAAGAAATGTAGTCACCTTGAAAGCACCAGCTGGCCAATGATATTTATTTTAAAAATATGATCAGGGGGAGCCAGGGGTGAGCTGGGAAGTTCACCCACGCCAGGCCCCGTCTGGCCTGCAGTCCCAGGCCAGAGGGGGAGCAGGAACCAGCGCTGGGGCAGACCAGGCACACAGGTGAGCGTGTCCCCACATCAGCATTTTGGATCAAAAAAGAAAGCAGGAACAGCTATAGTTATATCAGATAAAACAGATTTCAAACTCAAAAAGATAAAAAGAGACCCCAATGGTCATTACATTATGATCAAGGGGACAATACTTCAAGAAGAAATAACACTCATTAACATATATTCACCAAACGAAGGAGCACCAAAATATATCAGACAACTATTATCATCACTGAAAAAAGACATCAGAGAAAACACATACGTAGTGGGAGACTTCAACACACCACTATCAACAATGGATAGATCAATGAGACAAAAAATAAGACACTAAAGCTCTAAATAAGGACCTAGAGCATTTGGGCTTAACAGACATCTATAGAACGCTAAACCCAAAAAAAAACGGAGTACACATTTTTCTCAAGCACACACGGATCATTCTCTAGGATTGATCACATACTGGTACACAAAACAAACATCAACAGATACACCAAGATTGAAATCATACCAACCATCTTTTCTGACCATAAAGGCATCAAACTAGAAATAAACCATAAAAAGAAGGCAAGGAACTCTCCTACCTCATGGAGATTGAAAACCACACTACTGGAAGACCACTGGACTAATCCAGTCAAAAAATGGGCAGAAGAGCTAAAAAGAAACTTCTCCAAAGAGGAAATGCAAATAGCCAACGGGCATATGAAAAAATGTTCAACATCACTTGTAATCAGGGAAATGCAATTCAAAACTACGATTAGATACCATCTCACACCAGTGAGAATGGCACATATTAAAAAAACTAGCAACAACAAATGTTGGCGAGGATGTGGAGAAAAAGGAACTCTCCTGCACTGCTGGTGGGAGTGCAAACTGGTCCAACCACTATGGAGAGCTGTGTGGAGATTTCTGGACCTACTAAACATAGAGCTTCCATATGATCCAGCAATTCTACTCCTAGGTATTTACCCAAAGGACACAGAAACATCAATTCTAAAGAGCACCTGCACCTCTATATTTATAGCAGCACTGTTTACAATAGCTAAGCTTTGGAAACAACCCAAATGCCCAAAAATAGATGACTGGATCAAGAAGATGTGGTACATATACACCATGGAATATTACTCAGCATTCAAAAAAGAGAAACACATGCAATTTGCAGCAACATGGATGGCGCTGGAAGGGATCATGCTCAGCAAAATAAGCCAGAAAGAAAAAGAAAAATACCGGATGGTCTCACTCATAGCAGGAATCTAGAAAACTTAAATAAGGGACCAGGAAAAAGAATAACCATAAGAAAGTGAAAATCAAAATCAACAAACAACTATGAACCAGAGACACTCTATGGAGGGTGGTGGGCGGGGAGGGGAGGGCTTGGGGTCAAAATAAGGGGGTTGCAATTGTATGGGGAATATAAAAATAAAATTTATTTAAAAAAATATAATCAGGAAAACTGTCATTTTTCTCTAAAGCCCACAGAAAGGGAAAAAAGTATTCATAGACAAATTGTTACATTAATATTATATTTTTTAGGGTCTCCCCGGTGGCACAGCGGGTTGAGCATAGCATTATGAAGCTGTCCTCCCCTCTGCAGCACAGGTTCGAACCCCAGCCAGCCAGGGAGATTGCCACACGGTGTGGTAGACCTCTCCTGTCTTGCCCACTGCTCCCCTCAGCAGTGCTTTTAGTCTGTCTGCCTGTTCTGCTCTCCACTCTGTCTCTGGTGAATCCTCTCACCCCTCCTACACCTCTGGTCTATACCCCAGCAATTGTATAAATAAAAAATAAATCTTAAAAAAAATTATCTTTTATAAAACTTCATTTTTTAAAGCTTATTAAGCAAAATAACTAACTTTGGAGACTTAACTATTTTGGAGTCAGCTACAATGGAAACTTTACTTTGTCTCTACTTTGTAATTTCTGTGTATCTCTTATGACAGCATACCTTTGCCTCAGCAACATGCCACATATAAAGAAGAAAATTGCTTCTCTATTCTATAACAGTTCTTATTTAGTTGGCATCTCCAGCTGAGGAGCTAGAGAAAAAACAGCTTAGCTAAATTCAAGAAAGATAACCCTAACTTAAGTACCATTTAAAACAATGCCCATCCCATGTAATAATGGCTGATATGCCTTTGAATGGATCTGAATGATTATACATCATTGGTCAGCTTGTCTCCAACTGTCCTTGTTTTAGCTAACTCCAAGTGAGAAAGAAACCAACCAACCTTCAGAGCATGTCAGTTTGGTAGAATCAGGTGTGGGTTTGTTCAAATTTTATGATATCTGAATTTCACAGGTGCTGTGATGATTTGGTTTGGTTTGTTTTTTTTTTTCCCTTTCCATTTTCATATGCTGGGACCTGGCAAATTCTTTTGTTCCTCCAGGCCATATTGTTGAGATGGAAGCTTGTATTCTAATTGGCTTTTAGCAGGGAGACTAGGACCTTTATTTGTATTTGTGTGTGTGTGTGTATTCATATACATACATATATATACACATATATATCAATATCTCACTACCTAAAGGTAGTCCTCCTGCCTAACAAGGTGATCTTATTTTGATTCTTGAATGACCCCCTATATTCCTTTAATTTTCCCATATAATATCACTATAAATAGTGATATTTGGTAAACTGCAGTCACTAATGTATCCCAACCCTCCACAAGTTTCTAAAGACAAAGTTTCACTTACATTAAAACAAAATGTTCAACTAGTTTACCTGTTTGTTTTTTAATTTATTGTATTTATCAACTAATATGGTTTTCTGTGATGAAGAACTAGAGATAAACTGGCAGTCGGTATAAAGTCAAAGTAGTTCAATAGGCAAAGGCTTTGATATAATATGGCAGAAAATTTTGTGATAGGGAAAATCTCAGACTAATGCCATGGCTAAACCCAGAATACATTCCATTTTAATTAATAATTCAAATAAATGTAGTAACTTTCCCAGGTAAATCCTCAACTCCTAAGAGCAATAAAGACCATATCTGTTTTTTGCTTGTCATTGTATTCCCATGCCTGGCTTAGCGTAGAGTTAATGAATACATCTTGAATTAATGAAGGAATCAATATCACACACTTCAGACATCAAAACTTGAATCTAAGAGATTAGCTGGCAAGTTCCTCCTGCTTTTAAACAAAGCATTTTCCCTATTCAAAGAAACCCTACTATGTATCAGGCACTATGCCAAGCTCTAAAGGCACAGAAATCAGTTAGTCATGGTCAATGCTCTCTAGAAACATATTTTTGAGTCATTACAACTCACTGCAGTAGGTGCTAAAATAGAACTGTGTGCTGGAGACAAAAGAAATCTGTGAAGATGGGATGTTTCTACTCTGCCTTGGTAGTTCGGAAAAGAATTCAGAGAGGCAGAAAGTCTACACATTTAGTAGGAGTTTGCCAGACAGAAAAGAGTAGAATATTCCAAACAATATTCAGAGGGTAAGTCATGAAAAAATGTAATAGACTGACAGGTTCAAGCAAATGACAATAAACATCTGTGACATACTCCCCTGCAGGATATCTCTGATTTATAATTGTCTGCTTTTGCTTTGTTGTGTTTTATAATGTTATTATTTTTTATACTATTCTCAGTATATTTAAAGGACAACTGTCTAAAAGCAATTCAGCTAAAAGTTTGGGGAATATGATTAATGAAAAATGCACCTATAAAAATTTTGTGCTTTAGTTTACTTTGGTCACTACAAAAACAGTTTGAGAGATATTTAAAAGGTAGCATCTATAAGACTTTAGAAACAGATGCATGGGAGAGAGGGATGGATAGATTGTGCACTGATAAAGATATAGAATTGAAAAAGCTATGTATTAACTATGCTAGAGCTCATTCATCTTGCTGTGCTCTTTTACTGAATTCCAGCAGACCTGGTTCAAAAGACATAGACACCAAATAAAATGTCACATGAGCATGATGAAAGGTTTCCTACAGATTTCCTTTCATTTGCCTCTACTCTTGCAATGCATTGCTTCCCTGAAATCTCTAGTAGGTTTCTATGACCATCAAAAATATTTCTACCAATTCCTGAAAGTGCGCCATGTTATTTTAAAATTCATTTCAAAATACTACAAAATATCAAATAATGGTTGACATACTAAATAATGGACCACCTCAAATAGGTGAAGTGGGTTTTTCTGGGGGCTGAAAGTTTTTACCTTTACCCGGCTATCCAGATATGAGACCACTGACATCAAAATTGACGGATCCAACATAGATAGCCTCTCTAAGAAGACTTTCTTCTCTCTCTCCTAATCACAATAATTTACATATAGCTGAGGAAGAAATGATTACCTAACTTGGGAGAACAATTCACACTCTTGGTTGAG